TACCCCACCTATCTAGTCATTTCAACCACTCTAGGTGGCTTATTTTATGTTGTAAGCCGCCCCGAGTAGACATGGTCTAGAGGGGCGGGGCATAAATTTAATAAATAAATAAATAGTTAGGAACATAAATAATCCTTCTGTGGTGTCCACCCAAGTCATGAATATTCATATGCCATATCGCATATAGACCAATGGGAGTGCTGGAGGGGCGAGGTCACGACATCTAAGAGACTCAGCAGGAGGAGGGGGAGTTAGTTAAAAGTTAGGAGATAGGGAGTTAGAGTTGAAGAGATAGAAGGTTTTGGAGTATGGGTGAGTGAGAGTGGTGGTTGAGAGGGATAAAGGAGAAGGTTTAAGAGTTAACAGCATTGCTTGTTCTATCAACATCTGTAACCATAAACAGTTTCTATTTGGTTCTTTTAAAATGACCTATGGCCTTGGACATCTATCATTAATAATAGGTAATGTTGATGTAATCAACTGGTGGCAGCTGAGGGGCACATAGTGTGAGCTCTTTGTTTGGTGAAACAAGCAGGGGCCACGTGGGAATCATGACAGCTTCTGACAATGAGCATACCCTAAAAGGCCAACATTTGTTTCTTCTGGAGATGCCATTCTGGCATGCTGCTGTTTCTGTCTTCTCCCTTGAGAAATCTCGATCTGTTTCCTGCATCTGTCACCTAACCTCTCTTGTGAATGGAAAAATGGAGGATGTGGGGTGTTCAACAATTAATTTTCTTTTGTTCAGATCTCAGAAAGCCTGTTCTCTCTTCAAGATCTACTAGGTTAGAATGAATGGGAGGGTTGAGCGATCCTTTCGTAACCTCTTGAGCAATCTTTCCTTGTGCTTTTAGATACAAATACCTTTTGGCAAACAGAGTCCTTTTCTCCCCCTTTAACAACAACCAAAAAGATGTTGCTTGACATAAAACAATTCAAGTTCTAATCTCTGCTAACAGTAGTGGGGAGAAAAGCCAGGACAGAGGCAAAAACAAGGGAAACTATCCACTGCTATTTGCCAGCAGTATGTGCAAAGTATTTAGGTGAATATACAAAATATCTCTAGTGGCTGTTAAATAGTAACCTTCCCCACCCTCTGATATGTGGAATTTTCTTTGGGTTCCAAACAGATTATATACATCTTAACAGCCAAAATATATAATAACAGATGCAGCCAAAGTTCAGGCCATTCGGAGGGCAGAATTCCTAAGTGTAAAATGCCAAAATAAATTACAGGGTAATCCCAAACCTATGCAGAAATTGGTTCCAGTTCATGAACCCCCTTCTGTTTTAGAAAGTATCCTTCCCCTTTTCTGATGAAATGTTTATGGCATTGATGAACAGGTATGTTGCTTTTTGAGCCTTCATTAGTATGTAACAGCATCCTGATGCAGGGCTCTTCAGTATCCTAGAACATCCTGGACTAAGTACAAATCTCAAGGACACTAGGTGTCAAGGGTGTTGTAATGTATTCGCGAAGGCTTTCATGGCCAGGATCTAATGGTTGTTGTGGGTTTTTCAGGCTCTTTGGCCATGTTCTGAAGGTTGTTCTTCCTGATGTTTCGCCAGTCTCTGTGGCCAGCATCTTCAGGTTCCTACTCCAGTCCTCTGAAGATGCTGGCCACAGAGACTGGCGAAATGTCAGGAAGAACAACCTTCAACAAGGCCAAAGAGCCCGAAAAACTCACAACAACCATGTCAAGGGTGTTGTTGCTGCAATATTTAGGGGGCTAATCAAGTTTAGATCACTTCTGCTTTGGGTTTTTGTTTTTGTTTTTGGCTGCTACATTTGTCAGTAGATTTGGGAGAAAGGAACAAAGTTGTTGGCTTGGATTCAAAAGATCCCTGTGCTAAAGAGGCTTCCTTCTATTTCCCATGACCTATTGGGATCTGGACAAATGTAAACTGAGCTTGTTCCAGCCTGGTCTCAGGAAGTTCATGCACAGGAATGGAGGAATTCATTAGTGTCCCTCATTCTTCCTCCCCCCCTCCCATTAAAAATTTGTTTTGCTCCATTTGTTTGTCCCATTTCACAAACTTTATTTTAAAAGGGGGGGAAAATACATGCCTTTTTGGTATGTGTTTTTGTGCAGCTTTCCCCAAGATACTTAGCCCTAGTATATGACTTTTGGAGCATATCTCAAATTTCACAGAAATGCAAAACCATACCTATGTTATAGTTCCCATTCTTGTTTAGGTAGTGGCAGATTTGATTAGTTCTTACCAAACTGTTAACAAGTTAAATTCTTCCTTTGTCCTTAGCACTGTTATTTGTATGTAAACCCAAATTATAGTTTTGAAGGAAGGAGCTGAAACTCAAGCTAGGAGAGTATTGCTTGAGTGAGATGATATAATGAGTTCATGGCTGAGATGAAGTTTGAGTAAGAAGCATCTCAACTGTGTTCCATGGTAACTGTATCACCTCTCATATATCTGCTAATCAATTTTGAGAGAGTTTATCCATTACTCTGATAAATCTCTCTGAAATTTGGTCAAAGTTTTTAAGAAAGGGCTGAGCAGGAACTGTCCACCAAGAATGTGGGCAAAAATGAGGTGCTGATTTTGCAACTTCTGATCAAGTCTTTCTGAAAATGTGTAAAAGCCCATCACAGATTTTGCCCACTGGAGAACAACAGCTGTCGTAGTCTAATAGTAGTAAATAATAATAGTGATGATTGTTGGTTTATGATGATAGAATTCTTCATTCTAGATTGGTTGGTATTTTATTAAAAAACTAAAATAGTTTAGTTTAAAAAAAACCTAATATTTTAGTTTAAAAAACAAGAGCCCAATAATTAAAGCTAATAAGGGCAAGATATTTTATTTGTACTGTATATAAATCATTTCTCAAGTACTTGCCTTTCTCAACAACATGTAAGTAAAATTTTCACATTTTAGCAATATAGGAAGTAGGTCTGCTGCAGCAAAACAATTACTGTAACCTCAGTGGAGCTGCTGTAATAGGGGTGTGTGTGTGTGATGTGATCCCTGTAACCAGCGCCAGTTAACACTCTGGCTGCAACGCTCACATTCTTTATCTTTGTTACATGAGTAACCAGCCCCAGTTAACACTCTGGCTGCAACACTTACATTCTTTACATTTGTTACATGAAAAGAGCTTTTTGTATATTTGTGTGATATAGTCATGCTTTTCTATATACATTTATTTGGGTAATGTTTTTCGGATATTCAAATAATTTAGAAACATATTAATCAAAATAGATAATATATGAACAAGCAGAGAAGGTGCTGTGTATGATTTTTGGCTCTGAGCAGAACAGAACACTTTCCATTCTGGGACATTCTTCCTCTTTGCCGGAATTTGGCTCTCTTGTGTTTGTATCTTAGGTTGCTAAGCCATGAAGTTATACTAAATGTTCACAACTAGCTTGTTCTGGGGCAGCTCTGTTCTGTCTTTAATAATAAAAAGTGTTGTTGGTTTTCCAGAGCAGAGTTATGAAACAATTGTTTATTTATTACAAGAAGTCTGTTGGTGCTAGTTTCATAGGTTTAGGGCAGAGTGTTTAGTTAGTTAATTAATTAGTTAATACAGATTTTCATAGATTAAAGAAATGTTTCCAAGTTGTTTGCGCAAAGAGACAGCATCAGGATGATAGTTATATTTAAAATGATAGCAATATTTCAACAGGATGACACCGTGTTTTCCAGAAAATAAGACAGGGTCTTATATTAATTTATGCTCCCAAAAACATATTAGGGCTTATTAGGGGTGTTGTTGTTTATCATGTACAACAATCTACATTTATTCAAACAGTCATGTCATCTTCTTCTGGTTGCTGCACAATGGTAGAGGACGGGGTTTCACTTAACTGGGGCTTACTTTTGAGGTAGGGCTTATAAATATTACGAGCTTCTTGAAAAATCATACTAGGGCTTATTTTCAGGTTAGGTCTTATTTTTAGGGTAGTTATAATTCAAAATGATAGTTATATTTCAACAAGAGAACATACAGAAAGGTAACATCAACTTTGAAAAGGCTTCTCTGTCCTTCAAAACATTGGGGAGTGCCTCTTTAAGAAAGAGTTGACTGTAATTTTTGCATGGCTCATTAAAAAATACATTTTTTTCCTTTAAAGGCATAGTTCAATACAGAAGACATTCATATTTACTCAACTGAAGCACATACAGTTTTCTAGTTTTGATTTTTGTGTTCTCAAATCTGTGTCCCCATTTTGTTTAGGAGATGGCAGTGAGAGCCCTTAAACAGACTGGTAGTAGAAGCATTGAAGCAGCTTTGGAATACATTAGCAAGATGGGATACTTGGACCCTAGAAATGAACAAATAGTCCGTGTGATTAAGCAGACCTCTTCAGGTAAGCCCGGGTGGTCCCTCCATTTCCTTTCTATTTTTCTGCACTCGTTAAGCTGGATTTCACATTTGAATGGGAAAGAAGCATGCTTGCCTTGACCCCATTAAGTTTCTCAAAAAGGGAAATATCTTGGACTCAGACTGTGTGGCAATATAAACTTGACATTCCATTCCTGGATGTTTGATGTGGTAAATCCTGATGCAATCGAATGGGTATCTTGCAGCAACTCCATTGCATCTATTGCTTAAGTGGCTGAAATAAGATTCACAGAGAAAGATTAAATGTTAGAATTTTCCACTGTTCAAACTTGCCCCCCCCCCCCAATTTTTTTTTTTTTTTTTTTTGCTCTTCTACCCACTTCCTTTTCCCGTTCCTTTTCTGCTTGCCCTTGCCTGAGGAAAGGTAAAGATTCAGAAAGCTTGCATGCAGTTTTGTGCCTTTTTTGATAAATGATCATGCAGTTTTGTGCCTTTTTTTTGATAAAAGTTGATATAATAAATTGTTCTGATAAAAATGTATGCCACCTTAGTGGGGGGTTTTTTTGTTTTTTTTTTTGAGAAAGGTGGGGTAAAAATATTTTAAATAAAGAAATTCGAGGAAGTTCCTGAACTGATCAAAGCATGCATTGTTGTCACTTTTCTCACCTCACATAGTTTGCAAATTGGATTGCCTTTTTGTGTGATTGGTCTTTGGGAGCCAGACAAAGGCTTCATTTGCAAATCTTAATTGTTTAGACACAACTGTCTTTCTAAATCATATATATCCAGAACACTAATGTAATTAGAGATTGTGTGCAATACATAGTTTGGCCCTCGTATGAATTGCTTCCTCTTACTATCCTACTGTTTTCTCTTGCTTCCTATAGGAAAGGGCGTTATGCTAAACAATGTGAGCCGCAGGCCAAGTTTTGAAGCCTCCAGTGAATCCTTTCCGTCCTATCACCAGATGGGCAATCCAGCTTATGAAGGAACAAGTTTTGGGGCAGAAGCTGCTAACATGCTTAGTGAGGTTCCTAGGCCATACATGGACTACTTACTCTCTGCTTCACAGCCTGCAACCATGAATGCTCCAGTGCAAAGGCCAACTGGCCTAAGCTCCCACAACATGCCTGCCAGCCATCAACAAAAAACATATTCTGCTAACATGGATGCCTCAGTGATCAACTACTCAGTGGCTGCTAGTCACAGCAACCAGGCCTTGCAGCTCCAAGGCAGCCACAGCTCAAATAGTCCACACTACAGCAGGCAGCCTGTGATGGTGCAGGGTGAGGCCCTTGGATATGGAATCCAGCGGAGCCAGTCTTTCCAAAACAAGTTGCAGCAAGAAGGAGGAGGGTACCCAAGCCTTCCAAATAAAGGAACGGTTGCTCAGAATAATGCTGGCCATGGGTTCCAGCCGGCACCAGCTAGTTTGTATATGCCGCACTCACATCACAAACAGCCCATTCCATCTTCTCATCCCATGCATGTGATCACCAGAGGGCCCACATTTCCAAATGAATTTTCAGACAGTCCCCCACAGGGTCTATTAACACCTTCTAGAAATAGCCTGAACATGGACTTGTATGATATGAATAACCCTCAAGTTCAGCAATGGCAAACAGCCTCTTCCTCTTCCTCTTCCTCCTCCTCCCGCCGTGATTCACTGCAGAATCCAGTTCTGGAGGTGTCTCCCCGGCAGCATGTACCTTTCAGGCCAGAGGCCCATGTCCCCAGCAGAACCAACTCTTTTAACAACCATCAGCAGCAGTTGCCAGTATCCATGAGGCAGACTCCTCCAGGCAAAGCTGATGCTTCCATTTCTTCTCCAAATACCATCACTGCAGTCACATCTGCTCATATTCTCCAGCCGGTGAAGAGCACAAGAGTGTTGAGGCCTGAGCCTCAAACCGCTGTAGGTCCTGCTCATCCAGGTTGGTTGCCTGCACAGTCTTCAGCTGTGGATGGCTTAGGAATGATCGAACAGCACCCCCTACCTGTTGGAGGAGCAAATGCCTATCAGTTAGATGTGGACTATAGCAAGCAGGAACTCAGGTGTCCTCCACCACCATATCCTAAGCATTTGCTGCTACCCAGTAGTTCTGAGCAGTTTGATATCAACTGCTTACGCACAGGAATAGAGCAGACAATGCGAGGAGTCCCAAATTCAGCAGCCAGCAAAGCTGAAGAAAACAGGGAGAGGAATGACAAAATCAAAACAACCAAAGTGGAAAAAACGGGCAAGGATAAGAAACAGATCCAGACATCCCCAGTACCAGTGAGGAAGAATGGCAAAGATGAAGAGAAAAGAGAGTCCCGAATTAAGAGCTACTCACCATTTGCCTTTAAATTCTACATGGAGCAACATGTGGAGAACATCATAAAGACCTACCAGCAGAAAATGAATCGTCGCGTGCAGTTGGAGCAAGAAATGGCTAAGGTAAATTCTGTGTGTGCACGCGCTTTCCCCCCCTTTTGCTAAAAGCTAATAAAATGAAATAATTTCAGTCATATGTGACAGCCCTTTTATCTTTAATGCCCTTAGGTGTAGGATCATCAATTCTTTCATTTTCATATTTATTTTTTTAAGAATGATACTTTTCTGCTATTCTGGAACTTTGAAACAGTGCCAGGTGAAAATCAGTGCTGCTTCTCCCCACCCACCTGTCTCTCTTATTGAAGGTATAGGAGAAAGCACAGTGCTCTCTGTCCAAAGGTATCCTTATCCGCTCCCTTTGATCTCTGAGACTTTTATCAGGGATTACCCCCACATTTTTTCCAGGCTATCTTCCCAGCCATATAAAGTTGGTAATGTGCTTTTAAAGAAAACAAAAAACTGAGAGTAGATTATCCTGGCGCTGAGTTTAAATCTGAATACAGAAACATCAAAAGGAGGTTGTCCTAAGCCTTCTTCAGGCATTTTCTTCACCAAGGTGTAAAGGAGGGAGGAATAGGTAGCCCACCCAAAGGCACCCTGCATACAGGCACTTATACTGTAGATGCACATGTCAGGGGAGGTGTCACTTAGTGCAGCTTCAGTGTTTCTTCACATACGGGTCCCACACAGTTGCTGTAGGTTTTTCGGGCTCTTTGGCCATGTTTTGAAGGCTGTTCTTCCTAACGTCTCGCCAGTCTCTGTGGCCGGCATCTTCAGAGGACTGGAGTAGCACTGTCAAAGAGAACATGGCCGAAGAGCCCGAAAACCCCACAACAACCTTAGATCCCGGCCGTGAAAGCCTTCGCAAATACACGATAGAAGCATTTGGATGGGTCTTTGGTTTATACCAAATTAATGTACTAGTTCTAAATGTAATCTGCATTGTATACTGCTTTAAATGCTTACAGCAGTCTTCTTTCAGATGTGTTGAATCACAGCTCCCATCATCCCCAGCCACCATATCCATGAATAGGGTTATCTCTATTCTTTTTTTTGTTTCATTTTGTTCTTGGGACCTCTCAGTAATTTATTGATTGATTGATTTGATTTGATTTGATTTGATTTGATTTTTACCCCCGCTCCTCTAGACAATGTCTACTCGTAGCCATGAGTAAGTACCAGGGCATCCTCCTTTTCTAACAAGCACCTAGGCTTGTAGCTCAGCCTGTCCTAGACCATGACATATTCCATACATGTCTTTCTGCATATGAGCACAGGTGTAGGTCTGGCAGTTGGAACTCTCAGAATGGAGAATTATGGGTTTTGGAGTCCCCCACCCCAAAATGGCACATGCCTAGCCATGAATTTTGAGCACTGATTTTAGTCCTATGTCTATTGATTTAGATGGGAGCATGTGAACTCCAGATGTTGTCACCATTCCCATCAGCACTCACCATTAGCTGGGGGGTATTGCACACCAACAGTGTTTGGAGTGGCACGTATTTGCCACCTCTGAGGCTCAGGTGGGGGAAAAGACACATTTTGGTCTTCTTTACTGATGTATTTCTAAAATCTTTGAGAATCTGCAACAATCCTGACTTGACCACCAAATTCTCTCTCTTCTCCCACACCTCCCTTTACCAAGGCTGGTCTCTCTGAAGCAGAGCAAGAACAAATGAGAAAAATCCTCTACCAAAAAGAGTCAAACTACAACAGGTTAAAGAGAGCCAAAATGGACAAATCGATGTTTGTAAAAATCAAGACTCTGGGCATTGGTGCTTTTGGGGAAGTCTGCCTTGCCTGCAAGGTGGACACTCATGCTCTGTATGCCATGAAAACCCTGCGGAAGAAAGATGTGCTGAATCGTAACCAAGTGGCTCATGTCAAAGCAGAGAGGGACATTCTTGCAGAAGCTGACAATGAATGGGTGGTTAAACTCTACTACTCCTTCCAAGATAAAGACAACTTGTATTTTGTGATGGACTATATCCCTGGTGGAGACATGATGAGTTTGTTGATCAGGATGGAAGTCTTTCCAGAGACGCTAGCTCGGTTTTATATTGCTGAACTCACATTGGCCATAGAGAGTGTGCATAAGATGGGGTTCATCCATAGAGACATCAAGCCAGATAACATTCTGATTGATCTTGATGGACACATCAAATTGACTGATTTTGGCCTCTGCACTGGATTCCGATGGACACACAACTCAAAATATTATCAGAAAGGTATTGTTGTGACATTTGTGGGGGAAAGGAAGTGTTGAAAATATCACTAACAATATCTTATTTTAAAATTGTATTACATGTGTGTCATTGTCTTACAAACTAATAGGAAACAGGTTCTTTTATTACAGTAATGTTATGAATGTTGGACAGACGGACAAATTGGATAAACAGAAGAAAAATGTATGCATTCATTTCAATTACATTTACACAGGGTTACCTATAGTACAGGGTTAAGGTTTTGCATCAGAACTTTATTTATTATAGTCATATAAACCCTACCCTTAAAGTAACAATTCAAAATACGAATATATATATTCATATATACACACACAACAAAAGCAGGCTTTCAGAAGGTATTTGAAAGACATGTAAAAGGACATGCAGATGTTTGTAGTGGCAGTTTCAGAGATGTGGAGCAACAAGGAATAGAAACAGCCTTTTGATGAAGCAGAAAACATTCAGATGGCTGACAGTGGAGGATAGAAAGCATGAATGTTGTGGGCAGGCAAATATCAGGATATAGTGAAGAGATAATTAGGGAAATTCATAGAGGTCTTAAAAGTAAGGGCAAGATATTGGATCTAGGACTAGACATGAAGATTGTGTAGTAGATGTATTCAAACATGATGCTATAGGAGAATACTTGAGTGATTTGAGTTTTTGAGCATGCTGCTCGATTGCTCCTACTGCAAGGAGGCGTGGCTAAACAAACCACATACAATCTGCCTTGCCTCTTCCACCAACAAGTCAGTGAAAGTAGCAAAAAAAGGAGGTGGGATTTCACTGGCTTGTCAGGGAAGAGATAAACCAGATTACTAGGTTGCCATGTCACAACAGACAAGCCCTGTGGTTTGTTTGGCCATGATTAGGCAATAGGTACAAAGTATTGCCACTTACTCAGTAAGCAAGAATGGTCAAGAATCTGATACCCTTCTGTGTCAGAACACTGAGTGTGATGGTGACCCTTTGTAAAACTTCCCTGTGTAATAATGTTTGTTTCCTTTTTTATTTCTCTTCTTTTGAAAGGGAGCCACATTAGGCAGGACAGCATGGAGCCTAGTGATCTTTGGGATGATGTGTCTAACTGTAGATGTGGAGACAGGTTGAAGACCTTGGAACAGAGAGCCAAAAAACAGCATCAGAGATGTTTGGCCCATTCACTTGTTGGAACTCCAAATTATATTGCACCAGAAGTTCTGCTGCGCAAAGGTAGGTGGTCTCTGTCTTTCTAAATGGAGGCTCACCTTTCAAACGTTTATTTTCTGTTAATATTTTGTTGTCGTGGGGAAGGCTGAAGGATACTAGCTGCTTTGTTGAGAGTTTTGGTAATTGTTTAATCTACTGGAGCACAGGTGTGCCATCCAGCTATTGATTCAACATGTTCTTTCTTATTATTTCAATTTGTGTATTTCCACATAGTGCACACAATCTCTGGGCACTGTCAGATGCCCAGATTCTGCTGGTAGCCAACTAGATAAAGGAGAATTGTAGGAAATGCATGCTTCATAAGATTAATCAGTAAGGTAAAGGGAGTATAGCCCAAGACATGTTAGGTAGCCCAGATTTCCAGCTTTCAAATAATCAAAATGGAGCAACTCTTTAGTCCTTGTAGATCCCAAAACTGAGGTTAGCAAGAGATGTTAAAAGCAGCAAAAAAGTATTCTTCAGGTACATTTATTAAACTGTTAGAAACCTGTTTTAAATGCTGACCATACAAAGGCTTTCAATGGAGAATAAAAAAATTCACCAAAAATTAATGACGACTCAGAACAACACCAAATTAAGTTTGCATAGGGTTCAGGAGGTGGGCTAACGACTGCAAGCATTTATAGCAGGTTTCTAACAGTTTAAGACACTTTTACAGGAGCGAAAAAGGGACATCGTTGAGTGAAATTCCCCCATAGAGAACATCGTTAAACAATGGGGGAAATTCCTCAAAGAAACCCATCGCTGTGTGAATTCGTCGTTGTATGAAGCAATAGTTGTGCGAGGCACCACTGTATTCAGGTACATTTGTAGCAAAAGACAGAGAAAATAAACAGTGGTTCAGCTACTTAGTGGGGATGAAAAGTGATGACAAATGACAGGCAGAAGTGCTCAAACCCTACTTTAATTTGGTCTTTTCTCAAAAAACAATCTATGACCCTCCCGGTATATGTACAGTACAAATGGAAGGGACAAGATTGCAGCTTGAGACCAATAAAGAAATAGTCAAGGAATACCTTGTTGCCTTGAATGAGTTCACATCTCCTGGGCCAGATGAACAGCATCCAAGAGTATTAAAGGAACTGGCTGAAGAGATCTCAGAACCACTGTCTTTTTATTTTCTTGAAATAATATAGGATGGATGAAGTGCCAGATGATTGGGGGAGAGCTAATGTTATTCTTGTCTTTGAAAAAGAGGAGAATAACAAAAAGGAGGAACCAAGGAATTACAGACTGGAAAACAGAAACAAAATTCAAAAATGGTTGTTCTGGGTTTTTCGGGCTCTTTGGCTGTGTTCTGAAGGTTGTTCTTCCTAATGTTTCACCAGTCTCTGTGGCCGGCATCTTCAGAGGACAGCAACCTGTACTCTGATTCAAAAAGACCTTGATACACTCGAGCCTGATTCAAAAAGACCTTGATAGGCTCGACCACCAGGCTGAAAACAAAAGAATGAAATACAATGGGGATAAATGCAAAGTTCTAGGAAAAAGACAGTAAATGCACACATACAAAATGAGGGATACTTCACCCAGTAATACTAAATGCAAGAAGGATCTTAGAATTATTGTAGATCACAAGCTGAATATGATACAGCAGTGTGATACAGCTGCAAAAAAGGCAAATGCTATTTTATGCTTCATTAACAGAACTGTAGTCTCCAAATCACTAATCACTCTGTTCAGCACTGATTAAGCTTTATCTTGAATATCATGTCCTGTTCTGGACACTGCACTTTAAGAAGGATGCTGACAAACAGGAACAAGTTGGGAGGATGATCACGAGACCGGAAACCAGCTCTGTGAGGAATGAATGAAAGAACTGGGCATGTTTAGCCTCGAGAAAAGAAGACTGAGGGGAGATAGGATCACACTCATCAAATACTTGAAAGGTTGTCATTCAGAGGAGCAGCATAGAGATGGGCACAAACATCGGTTCAGAAGTTTGTGCTGTTGGTGCTGCATTCTCCTCCCTTGCCTCCCCGGCCAATGATTTACTTACCCGAGGAGCAGCATAGAGATGGGCACAAACATCAGTTCAGAAGTTTGTGCTGGTGGTGCTGCACATTCTTCTCCCTCGCCTCCCCGGCCAATGATTTACTTACCCATCAGATCATGTTCTTTCCTCCTCTTCAGGAGTTCGGCCAGTCCCTGGCAGGAGCATGGGTTTGCCTGTCTTGCCTCCTTGTCTAAGTGGATGATCAGCCAAGGAGGTGGGGCAGGAAAGCCCATGCTCCTGCCAGAGTCTGGTCAAACAGCCAAAGAGGAAGAGGAGAGGAGTGCGCGTCAGCTGGTAAGTAGGAGATCCCAGGTGGGAAGCTTTGTGTGGTGCTACGCATATGAATTGACACGAACCAAAGTTCATGCCCATGTCTAGTTTGCAGTCATTCCAGAGTGTGGGACACATAATAAGAACCTAAGAAGAGCTCTGCTGGATCGGGCCAAGAGCCCATCTAGTCCAGCTTCATGTATCTCAGTGGTCCCACTAGATGCCTCTGAGAGCACACCAGACAACTAGATACCTGTCTCCTGATACCCCTCCCCTGCATCTGGCATTTTGAGGTATATAATAATAGGCTCAAGTTACAGGAAACCAGATTTTGATTGACTATAAGGAAAAACCTAATTGTTATCAAGTTACAGGAAACCAGATTTTGGTTGACTATAAGGAAAAACCTCCTAAGCAGTACGGCAGTGGAACAAATTATCTCAGGAGGTAGTAAGTATACTAAGTCTGGAGGTATTCAAGGGAAAGTTAGACAGCCATCTGTTAGATATACTGTACTTTGATTCCTGCACTGAGCAGGGTTTGAACATGATGACCTTATATGCCATCCAACCTCCAAGTTCATTAGTCTATGATTCAGAGAAATGCAGTTTGGGAGCAGTGAAATTAAGTATAATATAGCAACTTTAAAAGATTATGGAGACAGAAGTGATAAACAGCACAAACCTGCATATGTTTACTCAGAAGTAAATATTATTGAATTCATAGGGGCTTACTCAGAGACAAGTAGACAGAATTACATCTAACTGACAATTTTTCCCATCTTTGGGAAAAAATTTACCTTTTATTTATGCAAATTATGTTATGTGATATGTTATATGTTTAATTTTTATAGTGTGTGTTGTAAGCCGCCTAGAGTGGTCACAATTGACTAGATAGGCGGGGTATAAATGAAATAAATAAAATAATAAATAAAAATAAAATGTAGACATTTTGGTGCAGAAATCGAGATTCTTTGCACTGTGCTATTATTCACTCATGTAGTGGATAAAATGTTGCAAGACTTGTAAATATCCAGTTTGCTTTCCATAGAAGGTTGTCTGCCAACGATCAGAAGAAGGCACATAAATCAGACTTCTCTATTGTAATTTTTTTTGCCATAGTTCATTCTTCTGAGAGGAAACCGTAAGCTTGACTATCCTTGTTTCTTTTTATTTTGCAGGGGGGTGTTGATCAAATTAACTTGTGCTACACAGTCCTGCTTTTTATGAACTGAATAGCACATTTTCTTGCTTACTTTTTAGGATACACTCAGCTTTGTGACTGGTGGAGTGTTGGTGTGATTCTGTTTGAGATGCTTGTGGGGCAACCTCCCTTTCTGGCTCCGTCTCCCACAGAAACCCAGTTGAAGGTAAATTCATTTGAAACTGGTAGTTGCTATAAATCACCTGGGTATTTTAGGGAGAAGTTTATATCTAAATCCATTGTCTGTCCCCTTCTTCCCTGCTTTCTTTAAATGACAGCCTGAATTTACTGTTGAAGTATTTACCGTATTTTCGCTCCATAAGACGCACCAAATTTCTAGGAGAAGAAAACAGGAAAAAAATAATCTGTTTTCTTCTCCTAAAAATTGGTGAGCCTTATGGAGAGGTCTATCTTATGGAATACACCCTAGGACCCTTTGGAGGCTCACCCAGCCCCCCCCCCGGAGGCCAGAGGGGGCGAAATTGCCACCTTCTGGGACTCTTCTGAAGCTTCCCAAGTCTCAAAAGAGTCCCAGAGGTGGCGATTTCACCCCCTCTGACCCCTGGGGGGCAGGGTGAGTCTCTAAAGGGTCCTAGGGTGTGTTCCAGGACCGTTTAGAGACTCCCCCTGCCCCCCCGGGGGTCAGAGGGGGCGAAATCACTACCTTCGGGCACTCTTCTGAGGCTTCCCAAGCCCCAAAAGAGTGCCAGAAGGGGGCGATTTCACCCGCGCTGGCCCCATGGGGGGCTGGGGGAGTGTTGCAAGGGTCCGAGTCAGCCTTCACGGACCCTTGCGACGCTCCCCCCACCTGGAAGCTGGCGATTTTGCCCG